CCAGTCGCGGTAGGTGTACGCCAAGGCTCGCGCTGGCGGCCAACGCGCGGCGGTGATGTCCGGCAGGCGGCAATGCCACAGGAGGTCGGGGCGCGCGCGCACGATCCAACGGAACTGCTGGCCTCGCTCTGCCTCGAAGCGCTCGACGTCGCTCGCGCAGCCCGCGTAGCGAAGCAGCAGCGGTGCGCAGGTGGAGTATGGGCAGCCGACTGCAGTGCGCCTGAACACGCCTGGAGCCGATGCCACGCTCAGCTTGTGCTGCCGCAGCAGCAGCTCGTCGTCCAGCAGCGACATGCTCGCCGGCGCGATCCGGTGGACGATGGCGTCCAGCGCCGCCCGCGAGGTGAGGGCGGCGGGCGACGCACAGTCGACGAGCACGCGGGTCCAGCGCATGCCTCGGGTTCCGCACGACCGCGACTGCCGGCTCACGTGCATGAAGAGGGCCGCCCGAAGCGGCCGTAGGACCGCGTCGAGCAGGTTGTCCTGCAGCCACGCGTTGGAGAGCACGCGAAGCTGGCCAGCGAGGCACACCGCCGCCGGCGCCGAGGGTGGGGCGTTGTGCGGCAGCCAGAGGCGCATCGACGACGGCGCAGGCACGGGGTCCGGCATCGAGTGGGTGCCCGGTGCCGAACCCAACCTTGACCAGCGCTGCAGGTGGCGTGCGTACGGCAAATTCGGAACCGGACGCGGCACAAACTGGCGGTGCCGCTGTAGGGAGGAGGGAGGAGGAGGGTGGAAGAAATGTGAAAAGATTCGGATTTGTGAAACGCCTCTCTCGACTTTTTCGCGAGCCACAGGCGCTCGCCCTTGTGAGCCACAGCGCCTCCGGACAGCGTGCCGAGCGCCTGCTACAGGCCTGCCTGCAGCCCAGCCGCACTCGCTGCGGCGGCAGCTAGTCGGTTCGGCCTGGACTCGCGCGCGCCGAGATGGGAACCCAACACACGGCGCGTCGACCCGCCTACGCTTTTGCAACAAAGTCTGCTTGGCTTGTGCAGGTGATGCCCAGAGCAGCAGAGACGACGCCGGCAGCCTCGGCTCGACCTCGAAGGCGGGTCTCGTGGCCAAAAACCTGTGCTCTATTCGTCGGTGGTTCACAGTAGACGTCTGTGCAGGGAAGCTCTCGCGTCGACTACGGCCGCCGAAGACTGTCTATGAGGGCACACCCGAGGAGGCGCCGATTTCAAGCACCGTGCGGCGGTGGCCAGGTCACAGGCATCGGCTGTGACACTGGAGAGTCGAGCAGCGGCACTGAACTTCCCTACAGGTCATTCCAGCGACCCACGGAGTACGGTCTCAGCGCGCAATCACTCTACTAGATCCCATCCTTGCCGGGCCTCTGCGAATGTAGGTACCGAGTTCATGCGTGGCCAGGTTGCAGGCCCATACTGCCTGGTCTCCAGCACCTATGATCACCGCGCCAGGCCGCAGTCGACGACGTTTGTGTGCGCTGGCCGCACTCAACCGTTGAGTCGCGGTGTATCAGTCTGACCACACTCGGGACCGCGTAGGCGATGTGGGCGACTCTGGCCGTCCTGCATATGACCGACCATGACCCAGGAGGAGTGTACACGAGACATATCGTACATGGCTGGCGTTCTCGCGGCAGCACTATCGCGTGCGGCCGAGTGCGAGCTTCCGTGCCCGGTGCCAGACGCACTCGGCGCCAGACGTCCTCGGGAGCTCGCAGTTTTGCCATACTTGCCTGCCCTCCCACTGGCTCGGCGCTCCTGGTCCCCACCCTCGTAGGCAAGGCTGAGCGACCCCAAGCTCCAGGGCGCCATCGCCGTGCTCGGCGGCGCCGCCAAGGGCGCGAAAGACGCGCTCACAAAGGACTAGACGCGCTGCTGCTAAAGAAGCCGGGCACGCTCGTCGCGAGAAGTGGCTGCCGCCGCCGTCGGGAGGGCGGCAGCCACTTCTCGCGCTGCCCAACGCGCCTTCGCCGACCGCCGCGCCATCGCCGATGCCGTTGCTCGCGCTACCGGCGCCACCGGCCGCGCGGGCCGCGCTGGCGGCGCCGCCGCCGGCCGCTGCGGCTCCGCAGAAGCGATCCCTCGCGCAGAATCGCCCTCGGTGCCGCGGCGGGCCGGGGGAGAGGGCGTGAGGGTGTCTGTGGTGGGTAGGGGCCCCTTGCCCATCGGGTCGCTGCGCGCTAGAGCAGCGGCGGCCCGCCTAGGGGGCTCAGGGCGGCCTGCCGGAGGGTGCCCCTAATGTGAAACACCTCCGGGGGAGGCCAACTTTGAGTGGTTGTGCCGAGTACTGTTTAAGGGTTGTGGGGCTGCTGTGGGCGGTTTTGGGCGTCCCTGGGGCACCCTCTGGAAGGGTCTGGCCCGTTGGTTCGGGGGGCGTCGCGTCTAGGGGGTGTATTCACACCTCAAAAATCGTTTCACGGAAGGTACACCCCTCCCTATTGAGCCACCTGCCAGTTGCGAGGTCATCAAAACCGTAGTTGCGTGCTCGTGGCGCTTGCCACGCGACCTAAAGACGGCGCTATTTGTCCTCCGACCATTGCCTAACGCCAGAGGAGTGGCAAGCGGTGAGGACGGGGCCGTGGCGCGGGAAACGGATGTGCGAGGGACGCCACAGACTGAGGCGCGCCCGGGCGCATCAAGACCACCACCGCGGGGCGCGCGGCGATGCGCGTGCTGGGCGTGCTGGGCGCGCTTCCGGCCGACGTGGACGTCTCCGTGGGGTCGGTGCTGCCGGAGGCACGCGCGCTCAAGGGCCGCCTAGAGAGCTCAACTCTCGGTGCCTCTCTGAGGCCACCCTGGGCGGCACGCACGCCGCTCATCGCCCCAGCGGTCCTGTTCATCGCTGGAGGGATGCGGAGTGAGCTCTCGAGGGCGCGAAGGGGGGGAAAGGGGATGGAACGGGGCCGGTGGGGATGGTGCAGCGGCGGCTGCCGCGGCAGCGTGGGAGAGGCCCGAGCCTGGAAGGACTCGTCAAGGCCTCAGACTGCCATGTGGAGCGGGCGGCACTGGTGGGGCTGGAGGGGCTGACTGAGCGCCGGTGGGGCGGCTGAAGCTTGCCTGGCACGGGTTCTCGCGGCGCGTCCGCGTACCACGCGTCCAAGGCGCTGTTCCCACACCGCTCTGAGCGACAAGGGTGTGCGTGGCGCGGTGGAGGAGCGTGAGATGATCTATAGCGAGCCTCTCGCACGTCCTGTGAGCGGCAGAACCGGCCATCCCGCACGACGAGGGCGACGCGTGAAGGTGCGCACGCCATAAGGCAGCTCCGGGCCAGCGAGTTGGATGGGATGATAGCGGCTGAGGGGGCCTGAGCATCGACGCGCCGCCGACAATGCTCCGTGAGGCCGCAAACGGCCAGGAGCGCGTCAATTCGGAAAAGTGGAACCACGCGATGACGAGCGGGTATGGAGTGATAGATTTCTGGGAACAGTAGTGGGATGGGGCAGACTCCCAGGATCCCGACGCACGGAGTACGTGTAGCGCGCGCAGCAGTGGTATCTGCAGCAGAGCCCT